CGTAAGCTTGGAGAGACTCTGGGTCGCTTGGAGAGTCGGCTTGCTGCCTCGGATAGGAGTCAACGAGAGATGATGGACATGCTGAAGGAGCTGATGATCCACGTGATCAAACCACCTTGGGCCGACGAAGCTAAGATCAATGTACGCATGCTGTGTTCCCTTTTTTCGCTCTGTTGTATTGTCCTTGTAAATAAAACTCAATTCTAATTACGTTTGTTGTCCCGCTGCAGGCATCAATAAGTGATGTTGTGGACATGTTCCTCAACGGGCCGAAGTTGTCGAAGAGGATGATATATCCTTCGGAAAGGGACTACAAGGCGGAGCTCATTGCTGACCTCGACGTGCTGGACAAGGAGCTTCGCTATTTCGAGTCCGTGTGGATCAATGGCGGCGTTGCTTCTAAGATTGTTACCCAGGGTAACAGTTGTAGGGGTAAGCTGAGTACTAAGTTTCGTGAAGTGGCTTACCCTCTTCTGCGTGACATGTTTGGGGATCCACTTCCTAACACTGCAGAAGCGAGGCGCAAGTACGCCGACGACAACTGGACAGGTATATGCCTAAATTGTGTTCTGTTCACCATTGAAGCTTTTAAAGTGCTGACCAAAATTATGGTGCATCATTGCAGAGGATTTTGGCGTACCATGGCATGCTCGTGACGGAACACCATTTTCCAGTGATGCGTTCAATGAGGCGGCTGCCTCGTGGTACAAGGATGAGCCAGCAGTGGTTGCGCTCACCATCGATCAGATGTGCTACATGTTTCTGGCGGTGAGTCCGAAAATCCATAAATTGGGTTTCTAGTTGCGTTGTATCTTAATCTATTTTCCTGGTTGTCATCATTACGTTGACTACTGTTGTTTGTGTTGTCTCATGGTATGATATGGGCCTTTCAGGTGGAGCACAGCATGCTCACTGGAAAACCCAACTTGTCTCCTGACAGCACCATCAACATGAGGGAGATGGACAAGAGGCAAGATCAGATTTCAAATTGGCTCAACAAAGCTGGAATCGTATCTGAGAGTGGGTTTTATGACCTGGGTGGTGTAGCACTGAAGGATTGGAATAATGATGGTTTGGAGCATCCTAGCAATGGAAACAGCAATGTGTAGTGAGTCTTTTTGTATGCAATCGATATAATGCTAATTTCTAATTTGCCCTCCCGATTAGAATTAATGCGCTGTTTATTTGGTATAATTTGTTTCTGCTGAATTTCTTTTTAATAGCAAATATTGAATTACGAACGAAATAGCTAGGTGTAGATACTTTAGTGTGTCAAGTGTTCCTGTTAGTGAGTGATCTCAATTGAAGCAAATCCCAGTGGTCACCAATATCAACCGTTACTATGACAGACTCGAGTGCTACAAAAGAACCCAACAATCTTGGGCGCGACTCCATTTAGGTTCCCGAATGGTTTGTTCCAATGTTCTGAGAGGAGGACGAAATGTGGTAACGCGCTTCTCGAAACTAGCAACACACGAAGAGCCTCCAGTAGTTTTCCCGCCGATTCAGCGACAGCGTTTCCCCCATATCTTCGGAGTACCTGCCACGCGATTCTGTTGACCCACAATCGCCCCTAGCCTATTGCGAGGGATTTTCCAGCACACAACACTCGAGCAAACAGCCAAACTATTACCAGAAATTTACCAGAGTAGTTCGTCCTTCGTCCGATGACAGTAAGGATCGGTCCAACAATAGCCCACCACCACTACCAATCACCAACACTCTTCGCACTGCGTTCTCTCCCCCTTCCATCTCAAAATTCCTCGGCTTAGATACAATGTAAGTACTATGTGTACACAGTGTATAAGGTCAGATGTAGACTATGTATGTACATGTTCTGCTACAAACAAGTTACTTTAAACCTGACATTACAGAAAGTGCAAAGTACATACACCTAATCGTACAAAGAATCTATAATGTAAATATTTTGTTCTATGTCCATAATCACACCAGCGAGTCGCTGTACCTCTGTCGCTCCCACCTTTCGTCTGATCCTGCTGCTACTTTCGTTACAGCCGCTAACATTTTTCAATCCCCTCCATAAATGTTGTCATTCTGTCGTGTTGTGCTGCCATGCGGTCATGCTGCATCCTGCTGTCATTCTGTCATTGCTGTCATGCTCTCATTATGTGCCTGGTGTGCCTGGTGTGTCATCATGACAGCATGACAGCATGGCTGCAGGACGTCTGAGTTCACTAAAACGCCACTTCGCCTAACCTGCTTCACACCTCTCCCCGCTTCACCCACTTACCCCCAGGCACACCAGCAGGGACCCAGGAGTTGGCGGCATAGGAAGGGCAGCACACAGCCACTGTGGTGTGGCTGGTATGGGTGTGTCGGACTTCTGAGTCGACCCAAATGCCCACTCCCTTCGCGCTCCCCGTTCACCCACTTCCCCACAGGCACACGAGTGGGGAGGAGCCGTGTGGTGCCGGCGCAGTAAGGGCAGCACACTGCCATGGTGGTGTCGCTGCATGCATAGGCGTTTTTGAGAATTCTCAAAAAACATACGCTGCATGCATATGCTTTTTTTAGAATTCTCAAAATACATACGCTGCATAGGCTGGGGGACACCGGCTACAGCTATCAGAACTTAGGCTTAGAAGCGATGCATTTGTAATGAGCTTGAAGCTCTTTAAATACATCCAAGAAGGGGAGGGAATGGATGGGGAAGGGAATCGGCGGCAATCCTAGGGATTAGGGGTAATCCCAAGGCAATCTCCAATTGGTGGGTTGGAGATTGCTTGGAGATTACATTTGGGTTTGGTTGGGATGTAGGTGTACACCCAACCAAACACAATGTGCAAACTACACTACTCTAGGATATAGAAAATACAAAGTACCAAGTGTGAGATTGAAGGCTAACACTAACAACAGCTTCTTGCAATGACTCTCACTCTCTAACCTCACCTCTTCGGCTTCCCGCCTTCCCTCGCCCCCAGGCACACGAGTGGGCACGACCAAAGTGGTGGAAGCGCAGGAAGGGCTTCACAGGGTCACTGTGGTGTGGCGGTGTGGATGCAGGACGTTTGAGTCGACCCAACCCAAACGCCCCTTCCGCTCGCGCTCCCCCTTTACCCACGTCCCCCCAGGCACACGAGCGGGCACGACCAAAGTGTTGGAAGCGCAGGAAGGGCTTCACAGGGTCACCGTGGTGTGGCGGTGTGGATGCAGGACGTTTGAGTCGACCCAACCCAAACGCCCCTTCCGCTCGCGCTCCCCCTTTACCCACGCCCCCCCAGGCACACGAGCGGGCCCGACCAAAGTGTTGGAAGCGCAGGAAGGGCTTCACAGGGTGACCATGGTGTGGCTGCACAGGCTGGGGGACACCGGTGATGGCGTCGTGGAATGGATGGATGAAGTGTGGAATATTGACTGCGGCTTCTTCTTACTCGACCTCCCCCACGTACGTTTGGGTTCCAACTGTCTGTTGAGTCGACACCGGTGATGGCGTCGCGGAATGGACGAATGAAATGTGGAATATTGCTGCTCTTTTTTTACTCGACCTCCCACATGTATGGCCATGGGTGCTTGCATTCGCTGCGTGCGGTGCGGTGCGGTGGGGTGCGGTGCGGTGGGGTGCGGTGGGGTGGGGTGGGGTGCAGTGCGGGGTGGGGCGGGGTGGGGTGCGGTGCGGTGCGGCGCGGTGCGATGCGGTGGAGTGCGGTGCAGTGGGGTGGGGTGGGGTGAGGTCGGGTGGGGTGGGCTGGGGTGCGGTGTGGAATACTGAGAGCATCGGCTTTCTACTCAACCTCCCACACGTGCATAGAACTGTCTGTCGAGTCGACACAGGCTATGTGTGTCTGTCGCAATGGCTGCACCTGTTTAGTGTGATTGGAAATAAGAGTGAGTCGCAGATTTGAACTCGACCCGACCGGCCACCCACATGTCTGTGTAACTGTTTGTCGAGTCGACACAGGTCATGGGTGCCTGCAATGGCTGCATGGGGTGGGGTTGGGCAGGGGGGTCACTGAGAACGGAGGCTAAATACTGGACCTCCACGTGTCGTGTCGTAAGTTGATTCGTGAATACTTGGAATCATCCTACAACGGTGCATTTTGAGGCGCCTCAAAATGCACCTCACTACACCTGTCGTGTCGTAGGTTGATTTGTGAATACTTGGAATAATCCTACAACGGAGGCTTTTCCATGTGCGCTGGATTGAATGTTTCCCACTGCCTGTGGAGACATTTATTTTGGCGCTTTAGAATTCTGCACCCATCCACGGGTCATCTCGCGTCACCTCATTTCCACTCTGCATTCCTTTATTGCAGGGCAAGTGATCTTTCCTAGTGCTCCTATAAACGATGTCTGAGGCACCTAAACAGAGTCCCACCCGCCTTTCTTTCCTCGCCTCCGCACCACATTCCCTCGTGGCAGGTCAAGTGGATCTTCCCCAGCGCGCCTACAGCCCCTGTGACTGTCAACCGAGGCCATCGCGCCCCTTCTTGTGAGTCCCTCACACGCCCTTGCTGTGAGTCAACCATGCGCCCTTGCTGAGAATCGTGCTCCCAGCACAAATAGCTGTCAGGGGTGCCTTATAAGTCGCGTGTAATGAGGGTATTTTTGAGACGTCTCAAAAAGAATCGTGCTCCCACCACAAATAGCTGTCAGGGGTGCCTTGTTATTCGCCTACCCACCTGCCCTTCTTCTCCCACCCCATCTATGTTCCTCCATCCCTCATCCATCCCTCATCCATCCTTCATCCATCCCTCATCCATCCCTCATCCATCCTTCATCCATCCCTCATCCATCCCTCATCCATCCTTCATCCATCCCTCATCCATCCCTCATCCATCCCTCATCCATCCCTCATCCATCCCCCATCCATCCCTCATTCCTCCCTCATTCCTCCCTCATTCCTCCCTCATTCCTCCCTCATTCTTCCCTCATTCCTCCCTCATCCATCTCCCCTATTCAGGATACGGCGTCTTTGATTTCAATGGGATTGTTCCCGTTGATGGCTTTTGAGAATTCTCACAAGTCGCTCACTCACCCGCTCATTTGTGCATGCATGCCCCCCTCCTGCCCCCCTCCATGCCCCCCTCCATGCCCCCATCCATGCCCCCCTCCATGTCCCCCTCCATGCCCCCATCCATGCCCCCATCCATGCCCCCCTCCATGCCCCCATCCATGCCCCCCTCCATGCCCCCATCCATGCCCCCCTCCATGCCCCCCTCCATGCCCCCATCCATGCCCCCATCCATGCCCCCCCTCCATGCCCCATCCATGCCCCCCTCCATGCCCCATCCATGCCCCCCTCCATGCCCCCCTCCATGCCCCCATCCATGCCCCCCTCCATGCCCCCCTCCATGCCCCCCTCCATGCCCCCATCCATGCCCCCCTCCATGCCCCCATCCATGCCCCCCTCCATGCCCCCCTCCATGCCCCCATCCATGCCCCCCTCCATGCCCCCATCCATGCCCCCCTCCATGCCCCCCTCCATGCCCCCCTCCATGCCCCCATCCATGCCCCCCTCCATGCCCCCATCCATGCCCCCCTCCATGCCCCCCTCCATGCCCCCCTCCATGCCCCCATCCATGCCCCCATCCATGCCCCCCCTCCATGCCCCCATCCATGCCCCCCTCCATGCCCCCCTCCGTCTCCCCTATCAGGGTACGACGTCTGCAGCTTCAATACTGATGGTTTCAACGCCGAGGCTCCCGTGGATGCCAGGGGTCATCGCGCCCCTTCCTGTGAGCCTCTCATGCACCTTCCTGTGAGCGCCTCATGTCCCCTTTCTGTGAGTGAGTGACTCATGTGCCCTTCGTGTGAGCCGCGCTCCCTCCCAGCACAAAACGCCGTCAGATCAGAGGTGTCGTATTATAGTCGCTACCTGCCCAGTTCTTCTTCTCCCATCTATGCCCCTCATCCATCCCTCATCCCCCGCATCCATCCCTCATGGTACATGCCCTTCTCTCCTCCTCGCCTAGCCAGGGTACGACATCCATGGTTTCAACCCCGATGCTCCCGTGGATGCCGCGGGCCTTGACGAGGCTGCCAGATACATTGCTGGGATTCTTGAAGAGGAGAAGAAGGCGAATCCTGGTGGGTGCGATGCGGTGCGGTGCGGTGCTGTGCTGATTAGGAGAGTAGCAACAGGGCTAGGGCCGAAAGGCATTCATGTGGCAGCGAGATAAGTGGGTGAGATCATCCAAGGTGGCGCGGGCACTCTTTCCCCCCAACCTCTTCTTTCTTACTTATACCTTTCATTGAAATGCTCCCAGTTTCTTCTGACCCCCTCTCTCTCAGCCTCACCAGTCGCCACCTATATTGTGGGTAGGATCAGCCAAGGGGGCGCATACTAGTACCTCTTATTGAGATGCCTTTAATCGGATCCTTTTCTTCCTCTCCCTCCTTGCCCGCACCCACCAGACGTCACGTACATAGTGGGAGGGATCAGCCAAGGGGGCGCATACTAGTACCTCTTATTGAGATGCCTTTAATCGGATCCTTTTCTTCCTCTCCCTCCTTGCCCGCACCCACCAGACGTCACGTACATAGTGGGAGGGATCAGCCAAGGGGGCGGCCTCTCCCTCTACCTCATGTGCCGGAAGGCGCTGGGAAGCTTCGCGGATGGTTCCGATGCCTCCGCTCTGCCCTTCTCTGCCTCCATTGGCCTCAGCACGTGGCTGCCCAATTGCAGGTGGGGTCTAGGGGAGGTGTTATCTGAAGGGGTATGATCTGGAAAAAGTAGGTTGTTTCCTCTCAGCCTTTCTTTGCCTCTATTGGCCTCAGCACGTGGCTTCCCAAGTGCAGGTGGGGTCTAGTGAAGGTGTTATCTGAAGGGGTAGGACCTTGAAAAGGTTAGGTAGTTTTTTCTTTACCCCTCTCTGCCTCCCGCTGCTTTGAGTGGCTGCTTGCCAAATTGCACGTGGAATCTGGGAAAGGTTTTATCTTCTCTCACCAATGAATCCGTCGTTCCACATTTCCTCCCTTCACAGTCTGGTGCCGGGGCTTGGAGGGGCGGATGGAGCTCCAGGGCCCGGGGCGAGGTGCTGTGCCGGGGCCTGGAGGGGTGGATGGAGCTGTTGCAGAGAGGGCTTCTTTTGAGTCGACTCAAGCACGATTCCGTGGCTCCTTCTTTCCTCCCCATTTTCCTCCCTCTTATCCACCCCCTACCGCCACAGTCTGGTGCCGGGACCTGGAGGGGCGGATGGAGCTGTTGCAGAGAGGGCTGCAAGGCATCCTCTGTTCATGGCGCTTGGGGAAGGTATGGTGTTGGTGGGAAGGGGAGGATACGCCTGGGGCAGGTGGGACTGCTCTGACATGCTGCACAGTGCTGGCTTCTTGAGGCGCCTTGTGTAACACGAGCTGGAGAGAAGCTTGAGTTGAATGCCTTGTGTGCTGTGTCCCCCTTCCCTCGTGGATTTCTCACATGTGCTTGCATGTGCAGCTGACCCCCTCGTGTAGTGAGGAGCATTTTGAGGCGCCTCAAAATGCCCTTCCCTCGTGGATTTCTCACATGTGCTTGCCTGTGCAGCTGACCCCCTGGTGGGGTATGACTGGGGCAAGGGCTGCTCTGACCTGCTGCGCGATGTTGGCTTCTCCAACCTCACCTTCAAGACGTATCCCAAGTAAGATTCTGCTACTGTGAATGAAACGTTTGGTTTAGGGGATGATGGTTAACTCAAGCCAGGCCCCATACCCTCCTGGCTTCTCCAGCCTCACCTTAAAATTCATATCCTAAGTGATAATGCGTAACTGCGTGGGATATGATGTATGGGAAAGGTGAGGTTGGAGAAGCCAGGCGCCATACCCTCCTGGCTTCTCCAGCCTCACCTTACTGCGTGGGTGGGACATGATGTATGGGAAAGTATCATATGAGGGATACGGGGATCTGTCTTACAAGGGATCTCCCTGGTTTCACTTCCACTTGATTTCTACTGGCTTGACGTGATTCTCATTTCAAAAACGTTTTCACTAATATATGTATATACATGTGTTTTTTAGTCTCTAGAGCATTATCCCACCACCCGCTGTATTTCTCTTCAACAACCTCTCGGAATTCCTTGGGTTTCCCCTGTTGCCCTACAGCATGGGCCATGCCATGAGCCATGAGGAGCTGGCGGATATGAGAGCATGGCTGTTGGAGCTCGCCCCTCCACCCGCTTGACCTCTCTTGACCATCCTCAACATTCTATTCGGTCTCTCTCTTTCTCCCTTTTGCCCTACAGCCTTGCACACGCCATGAGCCGTGAGGAGCTAGCGGATATGAGAGCATGGCTGTTGAAGCTCGCCCCTCTCTAGTAACACCACCTGCTTGGCATCCCGCCACCTGCCTTTTAGACGTCTCAAAAGTTGCCATGTGCTGTGAGGGCCTGGCGGATATGTGAGCATGGCTGCTGGAGCGCGTCCCCTTTCCTGCTTGACCTCCTGCCTGCTGCTTGACCTCCTGCCTGCTTCTTGAGTCACTGCATGAAAAGCATCTACCTTACCACCCACTTGATCTCCTGTCTCCCTGTCTGCTGCGCGTGGTGCCGCGCATGTGCTTTGAGTCAACTCAAAGCATGTGTTCTGAGAATTATGAGGCTCTGAAGGTCTGCCTGGAGCAGAAGCACCTCCCACCGCACAAAACCCATTAGGTCTCCTGTCTGATGCCCCACTTGAACACTGTATTTACATGGTATATCCTGCTCATAAATCACGTGTTTTCATGTTTGGGCATGTGTATTGCACGTTTTAGTCTCTTAGAAATGGTCCAGAAAAATCAACGAATGTTGCTGTCTGTTAGAATCTAGCAGCAGGAATGAGTGCATTGAACAGAGATGTGGGTACATATGCTAACCCTAATTTGGGTTGTACCCCTTACGGGCTACCCCACTACAGCCTACACAGCACAAGCATTATCATAGTTTGACACACCCCCATAGGCAAAGTGGGGGAGAGCAAGGGGTCACAAGACCAGTCAAGAGAAGCAAATCAAGCTCAGGGTGGATCACAACGTCACCACACACACTGAGCACAAGCAAAGGGCCACAAGGCCAGTTCACATGCAGAGGTATATATGCAATAACAGCATCACAGTGATCTCTACCTAGCAAAGCAAGCAAGCAGGTATAGATATAGATCACAGTACAAAAAAGGTCTACAGCAAATGAGAAAACGTGGGCACAAGGCCTAACAAAGTACAGAAACGCTGATGATCACCAGACGGAAGTGCCTTGGTGAATATATCAGCAGTGTTGGCCCGAGTGGGCACGTGAGCAAGACGAAGCTGACCTCGCTGCTGCAACTCTCGAGCGAGGAAGTAACGCAGAGCGATGTGCTTCGTACTGTGCTCCAGTCTGTGCTCCTGACACAAGGCAATGGTGGCCTTGTTGTCTACGTACAACACTGGAGGAGAACGAGGCCGCTCTCCCAGGTCGGTCAGAAGGTAGGTGAGCCAGCGTAACTCCTGTGCAGCCATGGCTGTGGCGTAGATCTCAGCCTCACAACTGGAGCCGAGATAGAAGACGAGCGTGTAGACCGCCAAGAAACAGAGCTAGAGCAAAGGCTGAAGGTGTAACCTTGTGACGACCGCTGAGTAGCCAAGTCGTCAACCCAAGAAGCATCCGAGTGCCCAGTGAGGACAACTGGGGTCCGCCCTCCAAGCACGAGCCCTATGCCTGATGTACTGCACAAGTAGCGCAGTACCCTCTTAGCAGCAGCCATGTGCTCCGGAGGGTGCCTACCAGGAGCCACGTAGCGAGCGAGAAGGCCAAGAGGGTACGCAAGGTCAGGACGAGTGCGAGTCATCAGGTATATGAGACAGCCCACTAGCTCTAGGTAAGGACCACTCGGCTCTACGGACTCGTCCGAAGGTGGAGCTGAGAGCGAGTGACCTGTGGCCAGAGGAGTGGCTTGTGGCGAGGACCAGGTGAAGCCGAAGCACTGAAGGACCTGCTACACCATGTGTGACTGAGTCAGTGTGATGGTGCGGCGTGCTCTGTCCCGGGTGATCTGTAAGCCAAGGTAGTTGCGCAGCTCACCCAGGTCTGTGCACGTGTGTCTCTTCTGCAGCTCCGACTTCACCAAGGCGAGAGCCTTGGCGGAGACCGTAAACCGGCCGCCGGAGGCTCCACTGGGTATCAAGAGGGAACGACCCAGTGAAGCCAGGAGGGCGGCGCAGCCAGATCTCCTCGTGCAGCCTGCCTTATAAGAAAGTTGTGCTAAAGTCAAGAGAGTGAAGCTCGTAGTCACGCTGAGCAGCAACGTGAAGTAGCACCCGAAGAGTGGACATCTTCGGGGTGGGGGAGAAGGTCTGTAAGAAGTCAACTCCCTCTCGCTGACTGAAACCTCGAGTAACGTAACGAGCTTTGAAGACAGGCAAAGAGCCTGGCGGCCGCTTCACCCTGAAAATCCACATGCCACTGACGATGTTCGCCCCAAGAGGGGGAACCTCGTCGACGTAGGTGCCTGTGGACTTCCAGTATGCCATCTCTGTGTCCATGGTTGTCTGCCACTGAGAGGAGTACTCACCCGCGATTGCCTCAGCGTAAGAGCGCGGGGTCGGGATGTCTGGAGCATCCGGGTCTCCCTCAGGGGCAAGCAGCATGGACACGAGATGAGGCGCAGCGGCTGCAAGACACTCAAGGTCCTCCTGTCTGTCCTCAAGGACGTCCGTGCCAAGAGCACACTCACCCCCGATGGAGGGAGGACAGACAGACTCAGACTCAGCAACAAGACTAGCAAAGTAGTCTAGACGACAGGCAGCAGCAAAGTCAACATGCTCAGCGACTAAGGAAGACGCAGCAGCAGACTCAAACGACAGGTCAGTGACAACTGTGGCTAGCAGACGTGTGACAGTAGGGCTAGCAGCACGAACGCAGTCAAACTCAGGCTCAGGAACGGTAGGCAGAGAAGACACACGAGGGGACGGCAGGGGAACACGCTGCGGAGGAGAGGAAGGACGACGAACTACGAGGTGGGTGCCGGGGACAACCGACTGACGCGAACGAGGAACACGACGACCGAAACGACCAGAACAGACAAGCGAGACAGGACATGACACAAGCTCACGACGCTAAGTAAGACCCCTTGACTGCTCAGTGTAAGGAGAAGGAGCAGGCAGCGGTGAGCATGTCTGTAACGGAAGACCAGTAGACGAAGGGAGACTAAGAACCTGGCGAAGTACAGAGTCAGACGGTGGCTGAGACGACGGGGACGGCGGAGCAAAGAACAGGCGTGGCTGTGCAGTGCCACCAGCACCAGCAGCTCCAGCACCCCCAGCAGCTCCAGCACCTCTAGCAGCACCAGACCCCTCAGCGCCAGCTCCTCCAGGACCAGCTCCACCAGTAGCAGCACCCTCAGAACTAGCACCTCCAGTCCCAGGGTCCCCAGCCTCAGTATCACCAGCAGCAGCACCCCCAGACCCAGGGTCTCCAGCAGTAGCACCATTAGGCTTAGCACCTCCAGCCCCAGCAGCTCCAGTACCTCCAGTACGAGCACCTCCGGGACCAGCACCACTCCCAGCTCCAGTGACGGCAGCAGAAGTACCTCCAACGGCAGAGCGCCGAGCTCCAGAAGCGCGACCCTAACGGCGACCGTACCAGTCGTGCAGCTGCTAAGAGGTGAGAGGTACACGCGGACGAAGGCGTCTACTCCAAGGCGACCGCGCAACAGCAGACTCAGAACCCTCAGTGCCAGCACCCGCAGCAGCTCCAGGACCTCCAGCGCCAGTACCCTCAGTAGCTCCAGAACCTCCAGCTCCAGAACCTCTAGCACCAGCACCCGCAGCAGCTCCAGAACCTCCAGCTCCAGCACCCTCAGCAGCTCCAGAACCTCCAGCAAAAACAACTCCAGTAGCAGAGTCACCGGCTCCAGCGCCTCTTGCAGCAGGGCCCCTAGCTCTAGCAGCGCGACCCTGACGGCCAACGTACCACTCACGCAGCTGTTGTGGGGAGAGAGGGAGTCGAGGACGAGAGTGCAGCGGCGAGGTACCAGCGGAGCGACTACGGAGACGGCTGCCCCAGGGAGACTGTTCACCAGACGCCTTAGCGCTCCCAGGTGCAGCACCCCCAGGCTCAGTACCCCCAGGCTCAGCACCCCCAGAATCCTCACGCCCAGACTCAGCACCCCAAGTCTCCGCACCCCCAAGCTCCGCACCTCCAGGCTCCGCACTCCGAGGCTCAGCACCCCTAGGCTCAGAACCCCCAGGCTCCGCACCCCAAGGCTCAGCACCCCCAGTAGCAGCACCCCGAGCAGGACCACCCTCGGCAGGACCTGAGTCACCAGTGACCTCAACCGGCGCAGGCAAGAGAGGAGGGTCTACCTGAGACACACCTGAAGGAGCAGGACCGGGAGTGGGGAGGGGGACCTGGGGAGCACCTGGAGCGAGGAAGAGCGGCGGGGGGGGGAGAAGGGCAGTGCAGTAGGGGAAGAGACGGTAAAAGGGAACCGACTCGTCGAACGTGACGTCCTGAGAGGGGAAGACACGGCGCGAGGTGGGGTGGTAAAACTGCCAACCAGGCGCGTCAGGGACAAAGCCAAGGAAGACACAGGGAACAGCGCGGGCGGAGAGCTTGTCCGCGGTGGTATCGCGGACAAAGGCACGAGCACCCCAGACCCGGAAACGTGACACATCGCCAACCTTCCCCGTC